AGTAATAAGCTTTGCTAGAGAACTGGAAGAATCTCTGGGACATGGACACTTACATGTTGAAATGTCCTCCTCTTCTGCAGCTAATCTCAAAGCATTCTGTTGCTTACACCTTAGCAATTGTTCCTTCAAAGGACTGAGAAGAGCAGAATCACCTGACACTTGCAAGCTCATCACAGGTAGAGAAACTAGAGGAAGATCTTGCCACACTTGAGTCACCTGAGCACTACTCAAACCAGCCTGACACCTGGGAATTAAAGGAGGAATTAACTGGGATGAAAAAGATAAGAATCAGAGAAGACAGACAACACTGTACAAGGGGCTTTGAAAACAAGGCAACAATAATTCATCAGGGTTGTTCCAACACAGAAGCTCGATTGCTAATTCAATATAAAAGCCACCTTGGCAAAAGGGTCATTATCACCCACCCCATTCAGGTTTTTCCAGATTTTTGCTCAAATAAATCATACAACATTTCATCTGGCATCCTAACTAGTAAACTAGTAGATGTGGCACCTCACTTCTTTCTTTACTAGTCATCTTTGGGGACTCTCATCATCCAGATAAGCACCACTATCAGCCCTACAGAGGACATCACGCCCTGGGAGTTACTGAACTCAATCATCACTTATCAGATGCTTTTTGTTCCTTTGTTCTGCATTTTTTTTGGGGGGAGGGAGTGAGGTGAGTACTGAAGATTGAACTCAAAGGCCCTTGATCACTAAGCCACATCCCCAGTCTTATTTTGTATTTTATTTAGAGACAGTGTCTCACTGAGTTGCTTAGCCCCTTGCTTTTTCTAAAGCTGACTTTGAACTCATGATCCTCCTGCTTCAGCCTCCAGAGCCACTAGGATTACAGGTATGTGCCACTGCATCTGGCTGCTTTTTCTTGTCTTGGTTGCTTCTTTATCAGTTAAACACTACAGTCTCGGGTTCAGATTTAGCAACAGCATAAGCTTCTTAGAGGTCTGTCCTTTCTCTCTTCAAAAGTAGGTGCAATACAAGTCATCACAGGGTAGCTCATAAAAGCACTTGTATTAAATCCATAGATATTTGGAGAGGCCTGGGAATTTGAAAGTAATTCCTCACCACATGATAGCCCCAGATCAGCAGCATGCTTCCACACATAGCCGGATAGAACATAGGCAATCATCTTAGTCACCACTGGAGACTATTTTGGCCCCACTGTCTCTGAGAAAGTAACTTCCTCCCAACACATAGTTGAATGTAAAGTTCATTAAGTTGCCCTTTGATTGATCACTATGTATTTTTCCTGAAACAAGCATAGGAATTTCCATGTTATTTTGGGATTTGACCTCTTAAATATATATATAGCCATTTTTTATTTCTTTTACCTTTTTTTTTCCATTTTAGTAACCCATTTTATAAAATTATCTCTGTTGCTGCCTCCTCATATCTCTGCCTTCTAAATAGTGACATGTACCAGGACTCCAGCTTTATGCTCCCTTCTAGATGACCTTATCAAGTCACATGGCTCCATCTATTTGCTGATGATTCCCAAATGTATATCTACATCTTAGATACTACTTGGAATTCTGCCTGACTGCCTTGATATGTCCACTTGGAAAATCAAAATTCATCAGAGGCCTACCATATCCTAAACTGAATCCTGATTCCCCTTCTTAAACCTGCTGCTCCTTCTATTTCATCCTTGCCCATCTGAATAAATAGCAATTTCATTATTCTCTGTGTTCAAAGAAACAACAACAACAAAAATCCCTTGAAGTTAATCTCAACATCTCTATTTCTCTCATAGTCTGTAATCTATCAATGTCTTAAAAAAAATCTTCAGTCAAATTTTAAAAATTCATCTGAACCTAGTAACCCAGTATTTCTCATCACCTCCACAGTGATCCACCTTAGTCTAAGGCAACATCATCTTTCTTTGGATCACTGAAATAATCAACTAAGCTATCTTTTGGCTTCCAAGTTTGCCTTTGATTTTCTCTACACATTAGTCTGATCCTTTTAAAAGCCAAATCAGCTTTATCTGTAGATATTGGCACATATCAGTTATAATCCCTGTAACAACTTCTTATTTACTCATAGTAAAGTGCAAAGTCTGATTATCACTGTAGTATTGTTCACTCTTCTCTCCAATCCTCATTCTATGTGATCTCCTAGCTTTTTCCTCACACACTGTACTCTCAGTGTGCTTCTCACTCAGGCCTTTACCCAGGTGCTTTCCTTTCCTGACTTTCTCTTTACAGTGATCACACAAGACTTGCTCCCAAAATTCCATTGGGTCTCTCTTCAAGTGTCACCTATCAAAGATGCCATGCCTAACTGCTTTATGTAAAAAAAGCATTTCCAAACCTTCACTTTCCCAACCTGTATCATTTTCTATTCTTATTGTACTGCTGTATTTTGATTTGAATTTCTCATTAATCTTGAACATATTCTGTATCTGTTGTTAAATTTGTATTCTCTTATCATCTAACTACTCCATTTAGAATGCAAGCTTTGTTGTTTTCTATGCATCTTTCTACCTCAGTTCATAGAATGATTACTTGGAAGACTGTGATAAAATAGTTTAAAATCTATTAATAAATTTTATGAGAATGTTAGTATGGATCCTTAGAATTCTAACAGTTTTTTGTATAATTAATTCACTTCTAACATAATCAAGCATATTGTTTTCACTCAAGTGATTTCATCTCATCTAATTAATAGAATTGCATAATTATTGAGTGATATGTTTTTGCTACTCTCAGGAAGCATCATAACTTTGGTTACTAACACGAACAGAATACAAGGCAGGTCTTTAAATATACTGGTTTCTTTTCTTAGATAAAATATAGGAACAAGGAAAACCAAGGTTAGTGGTCAGATGAACCATTTTGAAAGAGGGCATGGTTTATTTATAAAAAGTAGTACAGTGCTGATCTAATTGGAGAAAAGCAAAACTGAAAATAAACATCAACAATAAATTAATCACCCCTACTACCACAACTTTGAGGAATTTCCCTCTACTAATGGAAAGTACATGTTTCCTTTTTAAATTAATTCTTTTAAATTTGGTGCATTTTAATTATACTTAATAATGGGATACACTAGGATACTTGTATATGAGCAAAATTTCTACCACCATCCTACCAAGTGCTTAAAGAATCTCATTGATTCAAATAGAACTCTCCTAGTTTTAAAGTTATAATAAGGAGGAAAATATAGATGAGGTCTTTATTTAAGGAAACATCTTACAGTTTTGTAGATTTTATAAAAGAAATTTTAATGTTAAACTGTTATAGGTAAGAAAGTGACAGTAATTATATGTTGAAGGCAAGTTGGAAAGAGAGAATGGCCCTAAGAAGAATGTGCAGAGGAGATGGCTGTAATTTGGATAGGGCCAGGAAAAGAAGAGGAGTAGCATGTGACCAATGAGACATCCCACAATATGGTACAATGCAAAATGAAATTTTAGTTACTATTGTCTAAAGTACAAATTAAAATTAGTGCTGGCAATTGAGCTAGCCACGTTACTCTTTTGTTTCAGTAAAATATGCTAGATGCATAAAAGCTTATGTTATTTGTGCTTTGGTGAAAAGTGGAGTGCTGCTCAGTGCACTGAGTCAGTACGGAGGAGGGCATCAGGACTTGCAGGTGAGATGCAGAACTAAGAGATCAGTGGAAGCAAGATGGGGAGAGACAGAAACTGCAGGGATTCTGATAAGTGTCAAGGAACAAATTTAGAGGTTTGGGAACTCCATTGTAGTAAAATATTGGCATATTCAGACAGCAGGCTTCTAAATACACTAATCTACCTAACCCAAGTTTTGGTCTTGCAAAAACAAAAAACATGAACCAGACTGCATTAGCCAAAGCTCACAAAACCCTCTCACTAAACAAAATGCACAACACCTCATTATTATGCTCTTAGCTTTCATTGAATTTCTTGAGACTTTACCTTCCTCTTTACATTGAATTTTATATCTTGATATTTTTCAATTTTGCTCTGACTCTCAAGAAACTCTGAGTTAAATTTTATGCTTAAGTAATACAAATATATTAACATTGACAGTACAAACATTTCCCTCTTCTCCTTTATTTCTTTATAATATTTATGTCTGTATCAATGAACTGATCAAAAGAAATGTCTTTGTTATAAGCTTTCTCAAATCTTATTTTAACAAAGAGACAAATAATCATTTGAAACTACATATCACTTGATAGACAATCTGGAAAAGATTCTACAAGTGTTTCCAGTTGGTAGAAAATCAACAGAGAGATTACTTTAGGTGATATTCCACTCCACGTGGCAACATTAGATTTAATAGTTAATTTAGGAGTGGAATCACTTCCTCCAAACCTATCCTAAATTCACTAAGAAAGTGTACATTCTTTCTGCCAGCTAAATTCAAGAGCCTCCAGAGAAATATGTTGTGCATGAGTGGGCAATGCTCTCCACCACAGGTCTTTTCATGCTGTGTTTTAATTGCCAGCTTCTGTGTCCTGTTCCCAAACACATTCTAGGTTCCCTGAAGACATGTTCTCAATCTTTTTCCCAAGTATTAAATTGGACCTATCCTAAATTCAAGAATTACAAGTTTTCAGGAAGAAGGGATACTGCCTTTGAAGTTCTGTATTTTACAGAGACTTGAGAAAGTTAAAATTTCCATCAGGTTGAAATAATTTGCTTCCAGAAGAGGCTGGGGAGAAATTCCTTGGGATTTCCCTCAGTCATTTCATATGGAGGCTATCTCAGCCAGTACTCCCAAGAGTTAATATGGATTGATCTTTTCTGCTTTGAAACACCTAAATCTAAAAATGCTTACACACACACACACACACACTCACACACACACAATGGAGGCTGTTTCTCAAATATGACGTGAGACATTTATTCCTTCTCTCTTTTGCATTTACCTTTGCACCAATTATTCTAATTTTCTTTGTAAAAACTGCATTATTTTATTCAGGAAAGTATGTGAGCATCCAGTTTATATTATATATGCTGGAGAAAATAGACATGCAAAGGAAAAATCCAGTGGCAAAGGCATTTATTTCCTTTCAAGTGAACTTCTGTTTTGAAGGAATGACATTAAATGTTCTTTCTCTGTTATATATTTATTCACTTTTGGTAGTGAGGGGGAGGAGGAATTTTTGTTGGAGAAACTAGAGTATTTTTAATTACCTATTCATCTGTTAATTGTTCATGATAATAAAAATTTAATAACTATATACGTAGCCACTATTTGGAAGAATAGTAATATTTTAAATATGCAAATAGAATCTTTTGGCTTTTGAAATTCAAATTAATTTTTTTCCTTAAAATGGTTGTTAGGCTACCTAAATGGACATTTTTAGCTGTCCTACATTAATTATGATGTATAATCTTCTTAATGAAATTGTTGGATTTCCAAGGGAGGCAATTTTGTGACTAAATATAGTAGTCATAAATTCTCACATGGAAAAACACATCTCACATTTTATACTCTAATTGAACAACTGTTTTCTCTCAAAAGCATGATTTCATTCCAGAGAAAGAATTTTAATGGCCTCTTTAAAAGAAAGCCTCAACATTAACAGAAACCACAAAGTAAGTATGATTTAACAAACATGGTAGTTTACAATGATTTGTGAGCATAATTAAGGAGCATGTCTTGTTTTTAGATATATTTATTTTCTGTCCTTATGTTTCCAAAGCTAATGCCTACATTTGCACCTTTAGAAAATAATAATTACTGTATCAGCAGGCACCTTCCCAGTGAGATCTCCTATTATCTCTAAAATCTAGGCTTTTCTATTTTCTTAGTTTCATTTCCAAATTCTGAGCAGAATTTTTTTATATGAAAAAGAAGCTTTTCATATACTGTTGCCATTTACACCAAATAACAATAACAATATTTTGAAATCTGCAGCATTTTAAAATGCTATAACAGTGATCACCTGTAGTCTTAAAGAAAGACAAGAACTGAGGCTCCGCCTTTCAATATGCACTGTGCTTAGGGAATCCAAATGTGGTCAGTGTGGTATTGATTCTAAGAACAAAAAACTAAGCAACCTAAATATTCATAAGTGAGATATCAGTAATTAAAATCTCATCAAGCATTTGCATTGAAATACAAATGAAATTTACAAGATATATAGAGAAATATATATATGAATCTTTCCACATTTATATCTTCTTAATACTTCTATAGTCAAGCATATAGATAGATATAGATTATGATGGAAAGATCTCCAAGCTTCATTTTGAAAACAAATTCTTGTGGTAAAGCATTATATTAACTTTTATGTCAGGCACAGGAAAACAAACATTGAATGATTACATATAAATGTGAAATCAGAAAAAAATTGATCTAATAGAAATTGAGAGTAGACAGATGGTTAGTAAAGCCTAGGGAGACAAGAGAAAAGACAGAGTTGGAAGCAGTTGTCAGTGGGTACAATATTACAGTTAGCACCCTGATGGTCTGTGACACAGTAGAATGAATATAGTCAAGAATGACACATTTTATATATCAAAATAGTTAGAAGAGAAGACTTTTAATGCACTGATCATAAAGGAATGATAAAATTATACGGCCATGGATATGCAAACTACCTTGATTTAACCATTACCCAACATATACATTAACCAAAACATCACATTGTACACCATACATATATACATATATTAGGTGTCAATCAAAAATAAATTAATAACAAAGAAAACAAAGTAACCAGATTGCAAGGGTAAGGTTCTTACTTACCTACATTGTGAGAAGAGGAGCCAGAGAATGGAATAGAACCAAATTGTTCCAATATGACCTGATACATCCAGAAAGCAGCTAGTGGAGAACTGACTAAAATTCTTAAATTGAAATGTCCCTAAAAAGGTCTTAAGACAATAAAATTTCCAAAACATAGTGTTCTTTATTTTTTAAAAAACTGATTTCATGAATATAAAGCAGATACATACTCATATTCAACTATATATCAATACTACCTTTCTGTTGATATTTAAATTTATGCAAAAAAATATGTAGTACCTTCTGGAGAAACAATGTGTGAATGCTGGTAAATGAGAACTTTTTTCTAATATGTAATATTTTAATCTTATAATAATTAATTATACATTCTTTTAAAACAAAATAAAAACATAAATTTAAAATAATGTAAAATGTGATGTATATTCTTATTTCATGCCCAAGGTCCTTGTCCTCAATTTCTATATGTTTTAATTCAAAATATTAAAGTGTTTCTTTGGGTTATGATAAAATATTGCATATTTCCCCTTTGCAAATCTTCTAAATAAAATGAAGTTAATGTATTAAATGAAATTCAGTCTCATTTTTATATTTCACAAAGTAATTTACTCTGCATTTTATTTGCATTGAACTATAGAAACACCAAATTATTCAGGAAAAAATATATCAAGATAACAAACTATAAATTCACTATGCACATCAGTCAATATAAAAATAAACACTTTTGAAATATTTAGATACTATTCCAAATATATCATATAGTATCCAAAAAGAAATTAAAGTGAGGTTGGCCCACGTGTTTCCAAGCTTTAGAAATGTTTGTTTCCATCATTTTAACCCATTAATTTAATTATAAGATAAGCTTTATGTCAAACTTGAAAAGATTTCAGTGTCTTCAATTTATAGTCTTTCTTCTCTCTGAGGAAATACACTGCTATTTTTCACCTCTAAACTTCAAATAATTTCAAATAGATTTAGTTTTAATTTATGTATTTGTAAATGGCATAACACCAGAGAATGTGTCTTGGTGTGGTTAAGCAAGTGCATGTAATTGCAGGCAAGTTCATCTTCCAGGGAACCCATGAAATGCTCAGACATGTTTAAATTTAGGAGTGTATTCATTTCCTTAATCAAAATCTCTGCAATACCAGGATATTTTCATGATCTCTGATGAATAATAAATTCTCTCATTAGCTATGCCCAAACCTAAAAATATAAGTAATGCATTCATAGATTCAGCAAAAGTTTGACCTCAAAATTAAGTACTTACTGAGTGAAAAAGTTGTTAGACAATTTTGGTGTTTCTTTTCTCTAAATAAAAAGAAACTGATAAAACCCCCTACAAAAGTTCCCACAAGTCATTTATCTAGAATTACTTTGCATACCAATACTTTATAATGTCCTCCAAATTACCAATCTTGGGTGTTAATAGCAAGAAAGAGACATAAGTACAGTAGAATCCGTAAAGATTAAATGTGTACGTGGTATGACTCCACTATATTATTTAGCTCTTTAAAATAGAAGTTGAAAATTGCATTCCCTCATGTTTGCATGTAATTTATTGTCTATTATCTTCCACTGACATAGGGTGGGATGAATTGGTGCTGCATTTTAAAAGTAATGTGGCAGAATTGATAGTTATATACACTATCTTTCATTCCCTCCAGCCTCTTAGTATCAGAATGCCAAATATATTAGATGTGGCTATGTGCCCAGTTAAAAGATTACCTTCTCTCTCTCTCTCTCTCTCTCTCTCTCTCTCTCTCTTTGTGTGTGTGTGTGTGTGTGTGTGTGTGTGTGTGTGTGTGCGTGTGTGTGTGCATTGCTGCAGATGGAATCCAGGGCTTTGCCTTGCATTCGGTTGGTAAATGAGTTACATTTCTTAGCCTTTCTATTACTGGTGTAGCCAGTTTGAACAATGATGCATAAACCAATATATTGTGTGAAAATTTTTCAATAAATCCATTAAAAAATAAAAGGTGAAATTTCACCTCACCTTTTTGCCTAGAACAGGCATGTGATATCTCATGTCCTAGGAATTGTTTTGCACCATAAGGAAAAAAGGTCATGTTTGAAGGATTTCAGAGTGAAGGATTGGAAGAAGTCTAATTCCTGATGATTTTATGGAGTTCCAACGTCAGAACTAAAGATACTGTTGTCATTTGGGGTTTCTGGTCCATATAAGGAAACAAAGTTTAAGAAAAATAAGCTTAAACACATTAATATATGTTCATTGTTATTCTGAGTTGCTCAAGTCTTTATGACTTTATATATGCCTAGTGAATAGATTTTTAAAAGCTTCATTGAGAAGTATATAACCAAGAACTGCTGCTAAAGTCATATTTAACTTTCTAGTTGGAATTCTACTCTCTTTGATATTCATTTTGACCTCCTTTTTCTTCTGGTTTTCACTAAATTGGATATACTGAGAGGCTGTTTTATTACATAATTTTCTGAATCACTTTGTTTTGGGGGTCCGAGTAAATTCTTTATATTTGTGGGTGGTGGGGGTGATACAAGAAAAAGTGGATCTCAGTCTTTTGGAAGTTAAACCTATCTACATTTGTTTTACCAGATAGATATATTATTATGTCATTTTTATATACTTACTGTTTTTACTCTTTATATGGTTGTATATGTTTTAGGGAAGGTTGACTTAACCTGTTCGTAATTTCAAATAATTTACACTTTGAAGCAATCAGCATGAATTTTAAAAGAATTCAAATGAATCCAGGAATCCCTACTTCCATTCTGAATGTCCCACAGGAACAGACAACTTGATTTCCAGCTACATTATTTTCATATACTATGTCTTAATTTTCAGGGGGTTTAAACCATGCGTGACAAACTAATTTTCTTCATTATGTTATGGGATGCTGTAAATACCAAGAGACAATGTGCAGAATAAACCAATTTAAGTGTGCAGAACAATATAATGGGAATTTGGCTTTAGATCATGGTTTAGGAATAAACCTGATGACCTATTCTTTTAGTTGTTAAAAATGATTCATTTGAACTTCAAACTGCTTACTGGATCCAGCTCATGAGTCATAAGTAAACATGGACATTTTGTAGCCCCTCCATAAACATTTGTTTATTGAGAACTCCATTTTTGTTCATTTGATTAACTAGTAATTTTAAATATAATTATGTATGTTGTCAACAAATTTTGGGTGGGGAAAATAGGATTCATTAGATATGATTAATGGCCTACATGTTTTTTTAGCTAATTTTATTACTAAAGTAGTTTTCTAAGAAAATTTCTTACTGATACAGTGCCTAGACTTTCTGTTTTGCAGCAATGTTCCTTTGTATGAACACTAATTCCTGATAATATAACAATGAATTAAAATAGCCCTTGACAAGAAAGTCAGAGTGAAAAATATATCAGTTTTTCACAGTTTACAAAATAGCATAATTTATACTATAAAAATGTTAGATTTTAGTCTCCTGATAATTTTATGTTAATATAATAAAATATTCCTAAAGAAGGTCATATCTTCCAGATAATGAAAACCAAATTAAATAAACAACTACAAATATTACAAACAACACATTTATTTAGAAAAATAAACTGAAAATGCTGTTTGCTTATCTGGTACATTTTTCCATGAAGCATAGATAAATGGCTATAAAAAACTGTTGTATGTCAAATACAAATTACAAATGACTTTAATTAAGTAAGAGAACAAATAGATGTTCAACAGAAATGTGTAGTGTGCAGTTTGCTGTACTTCTTGGCTGTGAATGATATAAAACAATATTCATGAAATTTTTTTATCTCTTTTTCATTCATTTGATCACACTAATTCTTTCATCATTCTTTAGATTTAAAAACAAAGATCTGAGAAAGGTACATTTCTTTAGATAACTGAATTTTATAGGGGAAAGAGGAAACAATATTTTGATAATTCACAAGGTTTTCCTTTTGGACTCTTGCAAGAAACAGCTTGCTGTGGTCTCAAAACTCATGAGACCATCTGTGCAAATAAACAGAGTACACATCATTAACCTGAATGGAAGGGACAGTGCAAATATCAGGGGTGCATGGAGAAGGGATCAATAAGAACTGACCTTCCCTCTCTCTTAACCAATGTGGGATGAAGATCGAATGCGGAAACTTTTCAAACAATTGGTAACAATGCTGCAATTCCATTATGGCTTTGAGGGTGTACACAAGATGGCAAACATCCTCTTTTCTGCAAACAGCATCCTTCTGTCCTAACACTGCCAATGCTGCAATGTTCCTGCTTGCTCAGTTCTATTTTTGTCTACATATTTTGAAATAATGAGTACTTCTGACTAGAGATACCTCCTATCTCTGTCCCTTTACCTTCCAAAACGATAAATCAATTTACAATTTAGTAGATAAATTGCTGAATTTTAAATTTGGGGGACTCACATTTGGGAATATTTTATTTCCATAGTAAAATGAGTTTTGTTTGGTTTTTATTTATATGTTGGCTTTTTATTCAGTCCTTTTTATCTATATATTTTATCTTCTTGGTAATTTTTGAGTGAAGAGGTTTAAGGCTGTGGCTTTTTCCCCAGGGCTCTGCTCACAGATGTCAAACTAGAGGCAGACGATTTTATGCAGAGCCTATCAGTGATCATTTGTGCTCCAAAGTTGAGGAATTTGCTGCTCTGGGATGATCAGATTCCTGGTTACTTTAAAATTAGATCTGGCCTCAGGAAGTCATAATGATGAATCTGAAGTGAGAAAAATGAATCGACATGCCTCCATAAAGGTATTCCTTCCGACTTGAAGGAGCTGTCAGAGGAAAACAGAGATAAATGATCAGTTTAAAGTGTATGCATAATTTTAAAAAATACATTAAGATTACTATAAATTAGGTGATCATTTGTTATGGTATATATAATTTAAAATTATTTGAATTATCAAACATTTATTTAAAATATCTAAACATTTTAAACATTCCAATTAAATCTCATACATAAAAGCATTATTTTACAATTTAGTCAGATTCAGGTGCAGTATTGCACACCTGTAATCCCAGAAACTCTGAAAGCAGAAACAAGGTCACAAGTTCAAGGTTAGCCTCAGCGTCTTATTGAGGCCTGTCTCAAAATAAAAAATAAAAAGGGGTTGACATGAAGTTCAGTGACAAAGCCTTGTTGGTTTTTATCCCCAGAACCAATAATAATAATAATAATAATAAGGAGGAGGAGGAGGAGGAGGAGGGAGAAGAGGAGGAGAAAGAGGGAGAAGAGGAGGAGAAAGAGGGAGAAGAGGAGAAGGAGGAGGGAGAAAAGGAGGAGAAGGAGGGAGAAGAGGAGGAGGAGGAGGGAGAATAGGAGGAGAAGGGAGAAGAGGAGGAGGGAGAGAGGAGGAGGAGGGAGAGAGAAGAGGAAGTCATCAAAATTTAGCAGAATGTTTTTAATTAACATAAAATATCTCTAATAACTTGTAATTTCAGAACTTCATATAAACTTATCCTTTTATAAAGGTATAAAGTTCTCAACATATTTCTCAACTTCACAGATGATAAACTTTTCACATATAGCACCTTCAAAATGTAATTAAACAAATTATTTTCTATTAAGACAGAGCCTTCATTTAAAATAACATACCCATGTTTATAGTAGCCAAGATATGGAACAGTTCATAGTAGCCAAGATATGGAACCAACTAGCCTATATTCTGACAACAGATGAAGGGATAAAGAAAATATGGTATGTATACACAATGGAGTATTATTCAACCATAAAAAAATAATAAAACTCTTTCATTTACAGGAAAATGGTTGGAACTGAAGGATGTTGTCTTAAGCAAAATAAGCCAGAAACAGAAAAAAACGTGTGTGTGTGTATGTGTGTGTGTGTGTGTGTGTGTGTGTGTGTGTGTGTGTGTATGTGTGTGTATGCATGCCAGGATCAGATATCTTTCCCACTAATGAAAATTTCCAAATAAATTTCATATATAATTTTTAATTTAATAATTTCATGAAACTCCATTATCATATATATAAAGAGAGATGAATTCATAATTTATACATTTAGTAAAAAAATTAAGTATGCTAATTACATTTTCATGACTGTAATTTAGGAGTCTTTAGCATCCTTTATAATTATTTATTACAGTTTAGCAAAATTGTTAATCAACCTGTCATTTGCCTATTTATTTATTCAAAAATATTTGTCACCTAATACATGCCAGATACTGATCTAGGAACCATGGATACAGGAAAGTGACCTTCTGCCCTCCAACAAGGTTACTATCTGAAGATAAAAAGACATGCAAATGTTCATGGTAAATGTAATGCATTGTGCTGTAATATAAGTAAATATGAAATAAAGAACAAACATCAGAGTAGTAAGCCTATGTAAAGCATTTGAATTGACATTTGCGGGATGGGTTGGAGTTTGTAAGAATAATAAATGGTTACTAGTTTTGAAGTAAGAATATGTCAAGCAGAAGCAAGGCAGGGCTCAGTATCTTCAATATTCTGCAGCACAGAATTTAAGGGAGAAAAGACTGAAGTTTCTGGAAAGGTTGATAGAGTCCAGGGTGTCATTAATATGCCAATAATAATGGGAAATACTGAATTCTGATGGTGAAAATGCTGGAGGAAATGTGGGAAGTATGATGGAAGGGGAGAGGAAATACACGCAACAGGCCGTTTATGTAAAGAAGTGAGGGAGACACCAGTCTAAATCAATAACTATTGTATTTGCAAGGCTTTCTTAATGACAAATTGAAGATGTTAATCCACTCCTTCTTACTAATCTGCCTTCAACTCAAGATAAGAGTAAACAATATCAGAGAAGACATTTTGGCATTTGGTGTTTTGGAATTGGCTAACTTCACTTAGCATTATCTTCTCTAACTCCATCCATTTACCTGCAAATGCCATGATTTTATTCTCTTTTATTGGTGAGCAATATTCCATTGTGTTCTCTGATATAAGGGGGCTGATTCATAGTGGGATAGGGAGGGGTAGCATGGGAGGAATAGATGAACTCTAGATAGGATAAAGGGGTGGGAGGAGAAGGGAGAAGGCATGGAGTTAGAAATGATGTTGGAATGTGATGGACATTTTTATCCAAAGTACATGTATGAAGACACAAATTGGTGTGAACATACTTTGGATACTAACAGAGATATGAGAAACTGTGCTCTATAAGTGTAATAAGAATTATAATGTATTCCACTGTCATATGTAAATTAAAAAAATAATTAAAGAAAAATAGAGTAAACAGTATCATGAGGAGTTTCTGATTCCACCATATCATGGAAGCAGATATTTGCTTCTTTTTCTCAGTGGTCATATATGGAAAGAAAAAAAATAAAATCATATAAGTCTTTTTCTGCTGCCTGGATTATAAAATTGTGAATCAAAGAAGTGCATTTAGGCTTTACTGAGTTTTGAAGGTTTCAGATATCCACAACTCTCACTGGGTGGTATTAGATGTCACATTTAATCCATTAGCTAGGCTCAGATATCTTTCCCACTAATGAAAATCCCCAAATAACTTTTCATATATAATTTTTAATTTATTAATTTCGTGAATTTCCATTATTTTATTTTTTTAAACAATAAACATCTTTAAATCTTTACATTTCATATGTACATGTGTACTTCAAATATGGAGTAACATAAAACAGCATTAACATTCTAGATTTTAAATAAGTTTATTCAGCATGATAATAATGAAAAGCAAATTACATGCACCAGGATCTTGTATAAACAAAACTGAAAAAAAGTGAACTGAAGTGCCCAACATGGAAATGCTTTCTGAACCCATTCTTCAGGTGAACGGGTTAATTGCTACATTCTTTTCATAAAGGTTCTGCTTAAAAGCAATAAAGATTTTATTCACTTTTTGGATGGAGTAGGTCAAAATTTTCAAGCACATTAAGGGTCATGTTTTGTAAATTCTTGCAGATTTTTCTAAATCCAAAGGTGATATGCAAAATATGAATAATGCTAGATGATTTAAGGCTTTGAGTCACTAAATGTCAAATTAATTAATTTATGAAAGTAGCGTTTTTAAGTGACTGAGAGCACTTATGAGCAGTAAGTGCAGCATAATTTAAAAATGTCAAAGACAGCAAAAAATACTAAGAAAGCTGAAAATAATTCAAAACTGTTTATCTAAACAAAAGTATCTCATAATTCTATATTTCCTTGTACCTTGGTATAGCTTTTATAATTCTATTATAAACTATATTTAGACATTTTTAAATTATATAAAATTTGTTTATGAATTGTATATAATGTATGTTTTAAAATAAATAAATATTATATATGTATGTATGATTTTAAATATTTTTTACTCTGAAGCAAGATGTTATGTGTCTATTGCATTATAAAGAGTAACAATCAAGAGACCAAAATCATTTAAAAATTTATTTTATTTCCCATAATTATTTGTTTATTGTGGTGCCAATGATCAGACTTAGAGTCTTACACCTGTTAGGCTCTATTACTGAGCTACATCCCCAGCCCTGTCAAAACTGTTAAACTAAGAGCAAAAGTTTTCACATGAAAATGAATAGAATGCCTACTATAAGCTAGAATTATGCTAAGTACAGAATGGGGATTCTAGTGGTTGTAAATACTGAAGTAGATATTTCATTTATGTTTCTATTAACCTCTGAAATATATAGCTTCCCAAGTCCATTTTATTTGACACTGTATTCAGAGATGAATACTTGTGAATAAATGGCATTGCTCAAAAACATTAAAATATTTATGCTTTGATTTTTTGTCAAACAAGTATGTCAATTCTGGGTTTAATTTATTAGGAACTTATTTTAAGGTATTATTTATGAATGCAAACAATTTTTCCCAAATGGTTTTCCAATCATTTTAACAGCATTCATGAAATGATTCTTATTTATCTATATTTTGCTGTGTATACTTTGAAAAGATTTTCTCCAATTTTTGTACCCTATCTTCACTTTGTTCATTATTTTCCATGCTATTCTTACCAAGTAATGTTTAACAAATTTGAATAATTTTTAAAATTATATTTTGTGAATGTTTATTGCTGGTGGAGAAGACTACTATTAAATCACCAAATATTTCTTATGTATAGCTAATTTCTTTCTTTTTCTTATTGGTTCCTAAAGAAGTTTTGTTGATTTTTTAAAAATTACCTAGGTAAATAATCATACTGTTTATAAACATTGAAAATTTTACTCATTTTCTTCAGAATTTATATCTTTTTATTCTTGCCTTATTTCATTGTTTATCAGTGATAAGGAATGTCCCTTTAGTCATGTCATTATGATGCCTAATTCTAGTGGGAAAATCTTGACTGCCTTTCATTTTCATCTCTGGGTATTTTGTTGGTGGTGTTAATATTTCTTGAAGTATGTTTAGTAATTTTTATTTTCTATAAATTAACTATTTTATCTATACTTATACGTAGAAGTCTTTTAAATATTTGTAAAGTTATTTATTTGTTCCCTACTTTTTTCTTTCTAATTTTCTAAGTAAAAATTCTATTTTAACTTTATTTCAAGATACAAAATAAATTTAAAAATCAAATTTTCCATTTTTTATGTTTACTAGTTTCTATTAAATTTTTTTTAATGGTATTTCTTGTCTATTTTCTTTGAGACATTTTATGTTTCTTTTTTCAGTATCTTGAGTTGAATATTTATTTCTCAATTTGAATTTTATTGCTTCATAAGTCAGAGGCTATACATACTTGGTTATACAAATTTACAAATATATCAATTTCCAAATGAAAATGAAGGCATAGTAAAACATTTTCTCTTTTTCTATAAAATGAGAAATG